TCAGCAGCTCCCAGGATCTGGGCAGCTATTCTTCCAGGAGAGCAGGGCTCTCTCTCTCCTGCAGCGTTGGGAGCAGCGTTGCCAGAGTGCTGTTCAGGCAAGTTGGGCAGCATCTGTAGACCTCCCCCACGCCTGCGGTTTGAGCGGTTATAAAAAGCGATCGGCAAACCGATACCAGCGTCAGCCAGCTGATCGTGTGGCCAGCGGCTGCCCTTTCCTTTGCTGACTTCACTCGGGGCTCTTTATAGCCTAAGGAGAGATTCTTCGATCTCAGAGCCTGTTTCCCATAGTCAGTGGCCATCTTGGATTCAAGTCTTCCATCACAAGGTGAGTGGCCATTTTGTAAGCCCGGGGACCAATTTATACCCTAAGGGGCTTACAAACAGTTTCTTTCCATCGTAAGAGCCTTTATTCTTCAAATGGAGCAAGATAAGGTCAGGCAGAGCCCCCCCCCCCCCGCAGTGGAACAGTCTCTTAAACCCAATAAGAGAAAAAGTCATAGGCAACGCATCCAATCAGTCCAGAGGGAGGTGGCTGCTAAAATGAGAGCTAAGGCTCTAGCCCCTAAGAAGGCAACTCAGGCTGAGTTGAGGGCAGAAAAGCGGAGACATGCAGCCGTAGAGAGGCAGTTCAACAGAACTATTCAACAGAAGGGAGTGCAACTACAGCAGGGTTTCAGGTGATACCCGTGGGCCCCAGTCAAGCCCTCCCAGGGGAAGAGAAGTTATCTGTGAGCCTTTCCATCTCCATCCTGGTCTCCTGAGGCCTTTGCAGTACAATATGATCCTCAGCTCACTTCTTTAAACTGGTGTTCCTTATCTCCAACACATTGCTCAAATGATAGGCACTAACTCATGGACTATTGTACTTTTATGTAATAGGCTTATCCTGCAGTAAATCACCTTGGGTTAATTTTCTTGGAAATTGTCCTCTAGTCAGTAGCAATTTTATTTTGAACTGATGAAAAACATTTGTCAAAGTTCTTCACTAAAAGCATCTGTAAACATACTTGTGATTTAAGAGGTCAGAATCTGGAAAAAGGAACTGTCAAAATGTTTAGGCTTTGGACATTCTCTACCAATTATTTGGCTTCAATTTCAAGTAGTTTCCAAATATTGCACAATTTTTATTAATCTCACTGAAAGGCTTTGTGGCCATATCTTGCAACATTTAGTTGAGAATTCTGAAATCTCTCAATACTTTTGTATTTGTTTTTAAAAATAATGGAAGCAGAATTTAAGTTGCCACTGATCCTGCTAATACTTAGTTTCCCATTGCTTTTCTAATTGCTTGCAATTGACCTAGAGTAAAAATAAATGTATAGTTTACAAAAATGTGAAGGATGACAATTTGCAAGGCTCTATATTGGTATTCCTGTTTCCTTAAATATGTTTATAATTGCCCTGGATTTGAGCGTAAGATTAAAGAGTATCAAGTTTTCAAATGACAGCAAATTATACAGACTTAGCAGATCTAAGAGTTTAAGAACTGAGTCACTGGATGATAATATATCAGGTATAACTAACACAAACAAATGTAAAGAGATGGGCATTTATTTTCTTGGTTTATGGGGCCAAGATGGAAAACTTCATTACAGATCCAATCTGTTTACATGGGCTATCTGTTTTATTATTCCTCCATTACATCACACTGTAATATATGCTAGTTCACTTGTTGTCTTTGTTCACATGCTTTATAATAAAATCCCTTCCCCCTTTCAACCCAGATTCAAATATTACCTAATAAATTAATGCTAAGCCTTTGTGTAGAGGTTTCTTTTTTATAGAAAAGCAGCATTCATAAAAGCTTAACTGAATAAATATGTGTAGCATTTTATAAAAGGGTAAAATATCATCAGTCACACTGTCCTCTCCCTTCCCTTCCTTACACTGTTCGAAATCACAGCTGCCTGTTGTCTCCTAATGGAAGTTGAAATATTCCACTGCACTGATTGGTAAGACCTTCAGTAGAGCCTTGAAAAGCATGTGCTTACACAGGCTGTAATTATCATAAAGTGTTCATTGCCCTAACCAAACACCTCCTCTGCATGTTTTAAAGAGGTTTTAGAGCAACATTCATGGAGAAGGCTAACGATGCATCCATGATCAGAAACAGCATAGTTTTCAATATTGAATGTGACCAGTGAACAATATTGTATTTAAGGGGATGCAACAATGTCTTCCTTACTCTTTAATTAGGAAATTATAAACAGGACAAGGACTACAGTCTCTGAGGGGTTTGGATGTGGGAGATATCTCTTCTTTGCCTTTCCTTGCCATAGTCAAAAGCAGGCATGATCTCAAAACAGTATTCTATCTTGTGAGAGTTTGCCAGGATGTATGTCAATGGATGGCTCACATCTGGTGGACTAGTTTTTGCCTAAGAAAACTGTTATTAGCCCATAGAGTTTATGTTGAGGTTCCCAGATAGTTTGTAATAACTTGCAGACATGTTGACTTTCTACTTGCAGTTCATTTAATTCCTAATGTATCTCCTCCACCCCTATTTTCCGTGAATTTTTTCCCTAGTGCTCTGAACTTTAGTTTTAAAATTGTTAAGTTAGAAATTGTACTTTAAATCTTTAGGAGAAGCTCTCCATGAATACATATTGCTCAATGATCTACATTAAGAAATCTCATATGTGTATATTACAAGAAATGAAATCATTGTGATCGGAGTCCTCTGCATTTTCATAATCAGGAAATGTTTTTTCCCCTTTATATGTACTCTTGTAATATTTAGCCTCAAGCCTCAAGAAATTGATACTTTTAAAAACACCATATTGTTCAGAGCACAAAAAGCATTAATTTGCTATTTTAAAAGGAGAGAAGAAGCACTCAATACAGAATAAAAATTGAAGCTGTACATTTATAGCTAAAGGTTTTATTTTTTTTATTTTTTGCTGTATGAGTTTAGTATCTAAACAATTGCTTGGCTAGTTGGTTGTGGCATTTGGAATTTTAGTAAGCAAATGACCTGGGCAGCAGCTGGCTTGTAGCATTTAAATAATTGATGCTTGTTCAGTTTAGTCTGCCTCCTCTGATCACCCCAGTGGTCTCTAATATCTAATCACCCTATTGAAATTAAGCATGAGCATTTACTGGTACTGTTTCTGATTATCACACTTTGATGGAGTGAGAAAGAAAGACTGACACCTTTGTATCCTGCTTAGAACTCTCCAAGAGAAATTTGCTGGCGTCTCTTGGAATTAGAATATATTTGATCTTGGTTTGAATGGTGAAAATATCTGCTTCATTGCCATGTATTTTGAGAGCCAGGAAAATCTGACACAGAGATCCCACATCAAACTGTAGATTGAGGGCGTATACAGGTCTTGTATCTGTTTTTTGTTTTTTTAATATAAATGATGATGCGCTTCAATGGTTAGATGGCCTAGAGACACTGGTATTTGAACATAGATTTTTTTAGCATTTATATTTAATTGTGTTTTACTAATCTAGTGAAATGTTAATATAGATTGCTAGTCCATGTATGATATGCCATGTACTAAATAAATAACAGCTACTTCAACATTTTAAACTCATCAGATAGCCATAGTTCCAAGGAGGCACCTGGACTTTCTTGTTTTTCTTTCGAAAACATTTCACTTCTCATCCAAGAAGTTTCTTCAGCTCTGACAAGATGGTGGGGAATGGAAGGATTTATATTCCTTGAAGAAATCCTTCCATTCCCCACTGTCCTGTTAGAGCTGAAGAAGCTTCTTAGATGAGAAGCGAAACGTCTTCAAAAGAAAAAACAAGAAAGTCCAGTTGCCTCCTGAAAAAGCACCTTTGGGACAACCATGACTGGATAACTGAGAATCTCTGCAGACTTCTGATAGCCATAGATAACAAAAAAAAAAAAAAACCCAAACCCCATCCAATTAGACTGGAAGAAAATGCTCAGACATTTCAACTTCTCTCTGTTTAGCATTTAATAAAATTTGTGCAGTCACAGGAGAAGAGCAAGTTATGTGCATATCATGAAGTATCAAATTATCAAGATAATAGGAAGTCAATAGAGGCCCAGTGGAGTTTGTATTAACTGCAGTTGCATCTATGTTTGCTTGTCAATTTCAGGTTCTTCTTTCCCTGCTATATATGCTTTGGAAGTTAATCTCCAATTAGTTTATAGAGTAGGAAGGAAAAACCTGATAACAAAACGATGCAGAAAGTAGGGAAAAAAAGGAGTAAGGAGGTAGATAAAGATAAAAAAGAAAGTGGCATCTAGGTAAGAAATGCAAAAAGAAGAAAAATAAAAGTTAAGTGCATTACCGGATTACTATTCAAAACTACTTTTATGCTTGAATCAAGCATTTCCACCCTCTGATGGTTCATTTCTCTTTCCTCATGAATTCTGAGTTCAGACTAAATGCTCTGTTATATTTCTAGAAAATTATTTGCGTATTTCAAATTATCCTGCAGATGAGTTCATTAAGGTCAAGGGTATGGCTGATTTCAAACAGAAATGGGAAAGAAAATAATTTGACTCACATTTCAGTTTAGATTTATCTAACAATTACCACCTCAGTCAATTTGTGAATTAAAATATAAATAATTAGTATTCTGACCTTTCTGAATTTTAAGATGATGTTTTCAGAGCAAAGAACATGTATATAAAGATACATACATTTTATATATATTTCAAAAAATGTATGTTAAGGAAGTGTGTAGAAAAAGTAAATTCAAAGAAAGCTTGAATCAAAATGTATGATATAAAAATGATTAGCAGAAATATGATTCTGGGGAGAAATGTTTGAATCTTTGTACTGATTTGCCATTTTTTAAAAAACTAATATAGCAAATACAGTGACATTTATCAAAATGGGAGGAAAACTAAAATAATTTTAAATTGATAATTACAAAAACATATACAATAAATTCTGATATATAACATATACAATAAACTCTGATGTTTAACTTTAAATAAAAATAAAATGTTACTTGTCTTTGAAATGGTAATAATTTTTATATTAAAATGGAGTTTATTAATGTTTTCAGGGCTGAAGTTGAGATGCAGCTGACAAGACACAAGAGATCTTATGATGCCTAAAAGGAAAAAAAGAGAATTTGAAAAGCATTAGATTGAGAAATCATTTATTTTTCAGGTATCACATTTTTCCTTTTGCTATTTTTTTATTTGATGCCTTGTTCTCTCCTTAAAATGATTTTATATTATATGTGTGTGTGTGTGTGTGTGTGTGTGTGTGTGTATGTATATGATATATAATTATACAATGCATTTCAGCTTTAATTTGTAGATTTTTTAAAATGTAGTTATGTTTCATTATACATATATATTTTTAAAAACTGATAATTGGAGAAACTTTCTGATTTCTCCTTTTTCATTTATTTATAGTTAACTGGTTGAAACATTATTATACAGATGTTCTTTATGTCAATTTAATCACTATTAAGACTATAGGGGGAAAATACATTGAAGTAGGTGATATCTGCTTTTCTTTTCTCTTTAGCAAAGTTAGCTCCTTCTGTCCTTTTAAAACCAAACTGGTATCTTCAAAGTGTTTTTGTCAATAGTTCAACAACGTTTTTAGATTTTATCTTCCTGATAAAGTCCGACTCCAACATTATTCTTAAGATAGCAACTACAGACACATTTCTTTCAACATAAGTAGGAGTTTTAGCAGCGAGGCTATATCTCTGCACATATTCATCGGAGATAAAATTGCATTGAACTCAAAAAAATATTTCTGGATCACAAGATGCTGCATCCTTACTGTTCTCTGTTTGGAAGGGACCATCATTTCCTCTTAGCCTATAGATTTTTCATTGCTTGTGCACTTTATTTAAGTTATCCAAAGCATATGTTTAAGAGTAAAACCAAGATAAGGGGTAGGATTCTACCGGTTCAGACCTGTTTGGTAGAACCGTTTGTTATGATTCTGCACAGTTCAGAGAACTGGTAAATCATACTACTGGCTGGCCCTGCCCCTTCCTGCCTGCCTACTCACCCTGCCCCACCCAGTTATTCTTCATCTTGCTCACCATTGCTAACTTGCCTTTGCCTGCCACTGCTGCCTGCCTTTCACCATGACCCTGATCTCCCTGGCTGAGTGAGCCTACGAGCAAGCCCCGGTCGAATCGACTCCTGGGCCGTCCTAGCCCGCTGCATTGTCCCCCCGGTCAAATCGACTCCTTGGCTGTCCTAGCCCGCTGCATTGTCCCCCCCTCATCCCCAGGCTTGCCTGGATTGCTTTGCTGCAACCTAGCTAGCTAGCTGCCTCCCACCGCATGGCCCTGGCCACGCTGGCTGGGAGAACGTTCTTCTCCCCCTGGCCAGGAAGAAGCTGAGTGTCCATGGCCATGGTGGCTGGGAGAGAAGAAAATGTTCTCCTTCTCCCCCTGGCCAGGAAGAAGCCACGTGGCCATGGCTGTGCTGGCTTGGAGAAAAGAGAACATTCTTTTTCTCTCCCTGGTGCTGCCGTGGCTGGATCCGGTCGGGGGAATGCCCCCCCCCAGGGGAATGCCCCACCATTGGTGTGCTCTGCTGCCACTGTCACTGAAGCCGCCCAAGAAAACTCCCCATCATTAGTGCAGTTCCGGGATGCACCGCCACTGCTGCTGCTCGCCTCCCCCCCACTCACCTTTTGCAGCAAGGGCCACCGCCACAACTGCCCAAGGAAATTCCCCACTGCCAGTGCAGTTCCAGGATGCACTGCCACCCACGCCATTCACCTTCCCCCTCCAATCACCTTTTGCTGCCGCAGCTGCCGCCACCGAAGCCGCCCAAGAAAACTCCCCACTGCCGAGAAGTTCTGGGACGCGCCACAGCCTCCACCACTTGCCTTCTTGGCAAGAGCCTTCCCATCGGCAAGAGAGGCTCTGCAGCCCCTCTTGCTGATGAAAACAACTGGAGCATGCCACCGCCACCACCCCGAGTTATGGCGAGGCCCAGATTGGGACTCAGCACACAGGGCATTGTTGGAGCTGAGCGGGCTGGCTTTCCCCTCTGTCACCAGCTGTGAGAGGAAGGTTGGGCAAGGTAAAGCCAAACCGCTGCCCAGGCAAGAGCTACCAGCGGGGGTGGGCAAGGCTGCAGGGCAAACCTGGATGAAAGTTGTTTGTAAATCTTCCTAAAAGAGGGAGGGGAAGAAGTTCCACGGCTGTCCAGGATGATTTTATAATAGGAGAAGATGTGGGTACATTTTTATTAGACAGCTTTTCCTAAGAAGAGAGATTTTTGCTTGTATCACTGTTGGCCTCAATGAGCAATTCGTCTGCCTTTTGATACTATGCAGTTAATCATGCACTGCTTAAATAGTTAAGTCCCCATTTTTTCTCAGAGCAAGATAATTATGTTTATGAATTGCTAATATCACCCTCCTGAGTAATTCCTTTGGAGCACTTTCCATTTTGACAACTTAGGAAAGAAGTATTGTCTTTGGGGTTTACCTGAATTAAATGCAGGTGTAGGCATCAGAGGAGGGTTAATTTGAAAATGAGAAGTAAAAGAGAAGCAAATTTCTGTACATAATAGAAAGGAAAGGAAAGGAAAACATTGAGAAGTGTTGAGGAGCTGAGGGGTGTGTGTGAGTCAAGGAATTGCAGACCAGAAAGATTGTTTTGTATTCCAGTTAAATTAGAAATGGTTCTTTGTGAAGGATCTGTGAAAATTATGGAATATTGCAATAAGGCCAAAGGGAAAAAATATAAAGCAGAAAGATTTAATAAAAGAAGAGAAAGGATGGTAAGACATCCACTATCTGACTGCTTTGAAAGTACCTTTCAAATGTGTTTTCAATTGTAGGATTGGAAATATTTGCTTGACTGTATGCTTTAATATTAAAAAAGAACAATCTTTAACAGTATAAGCAGAGATATAGTCTTCAAGCTTTAATGCATTTTCCAAAAATCATTGTAGTAAACTGAATACCACTGTAGAACAATTTAACGGAGAGTAAAGTAAGATTTTACACAGGCTAGAAAAAATGTATACAATAGGTGGTGCCTGGCTCAACTGCAAGTAACTGTGAGATGGAAACTTATCCAACAGATCCAACCTAGAAATAAGAAGAAATTTCCTGACAGTGAGAACAATTAATCAGAAAAATGGGATACCTTCATAAATTGTGGGTTTTTAAGAAGAAATGTATCCATAATAGTATAGGGTCTCATGCTTCAGCAGGGATGGACTAGAAAACCACCAGTTGGAAGTCTCTTCCAACTCTGTTATTCTTTATAAATCTCTCCACTCAGTCTTGCCAAGAGAATGGTGATAAACAATATTTGGAAATGTCAATCAGGTCTTCTGAAAGCAAAATCTCATCTTATTGACTAGTATCAAGGGGAAGATGTCTTTGAAAAAGTTTTCTCTCTCACCATAACATGAAAGACAAAGCGAGGACTGGCTGGGAGGGGAGGGGTGAGAAGCCAGGCGAGGTACCCCCTCCATGTGAGTGACATCGAGTTGACCACGTCCCACCATGACCATCAAGCCACACCCATACAGTCAGGTGACCACCAAGCCACACCCACAGAACCGGTTGTTAAGGAATTTGAATCCCACCCCTGACCAAGGTGGTATGTGAAAAGTCTTAAATCACAAAACTTAATAAAGATAATGGCAAAATCCAAAGCAGTTGTTAGAACCAGCCGCATGATAATTTTTATTCCATTGTAGCCTAAGGGTAACTAAGGATGAAATAATAGGGCACCTGACCCTCTCCCTGGGGTAGGTTCAGGTAAGCCTGTGTCACTCTTGCTTATCATATGTATTGTTGAACAAAATCCTGTCTCTGTCTTCTTGCCAGTTTATTCTTAATGTTCAATGAAAATCCTAATGTTAGCATTGTTCAGTGCTTTGCCTACAAGCTGACATAACTGTGACTGAAACTATTCACTTTAGGTTTTTTGCTACTTTTTGCTACTTTTGCTACTTTTTTGCTGTAAAGTGAGATTTTGCAGGTTGAATAAGCTCAATATATATATTTTTTTTTTTGAGAAGAAAAGTCTTCATCACTAAGTCGCAATGGAATGTTTGCACACAAACATTCTTAGATTCCATCACTGGCCGGCCTGCTTAAATCCATGCCTAAATCTCTAGAAAGTCATTATTAGCGTGTACAGTGATGAGTGTTATGTTATGTTGATATAATGGCCTGACTTAGTAAAGCAGTTTCCTATTTAGGGAAAACAATTCTTAAGGAATAGTAATAGTACCTGTTTCAAAATTCCATGAGTTAAGCAATTCAACTCAAACATCCCTATTTAAGCATTGGATGAGGGCGGGGATAGTATTTTTCAACCATGACAACTTTAAGCAGTGAGTTGAAGTTCAACACCTTAAAGTTGTGAAGATTGAGCAACATGCTTCATTCATTAGCTTGTAATGCTAATTACTTATATAGTACTTCATGCGCATTATTCTGAAGTCAAGATTCTGAGAGAGATTTTTCTTTGTCATTCTTGTTACAATTTGAGAAAGGGGTGGGTAACTTAGCTGTAGTAAGATGGAACAATAATGTGATGGAATGAAGTGGAAGAGTTTTAGCCCTTTTTTTCCTCTTTTGTAAAGTTTGTTTTTGTTTTTGTATTATACTAAATATGTTGTCCCAAATTAATATTCACTATTGAGAATATCAGTTATATATGGCCACTGCACTAATTAATATGATATGTTACAGGATTAACCTCTCTTGTCAATATATATATTCTCCAGAACAATTTTAAAGCTAATTTCTAAATCAGATCCCTGGATTTGTAGATCTTAATAATATATCAAATTCCTCTATTTAAATTTAAGTACTATTAACCTGTATATCTATAAGTGCTATAGAATCCCTAATCTCAAAATAGCGTTATAAAATAATATTTCAAATACTTACAAATCTAAATGAAAATATATCAACCTTGCTATACAATAATCAATTAGTTAATCTGTAGTAATCACAATCAATTATTTAATTCAATCTAATCAACGCCTACAATCAAATATCTATTCCTAAATAATTAATTATCAGCTCCCCTTTTTGTGTTATAACCAAATATAAACTTCAATATTTACTAATGTATCAAATCATATATAAATTACGTTTACCACATTCAAAAACCAGTTGAGTTGGTGTCAAGAAATAATTATTGCAATCCG